TGTGTCAAGCACATTTGTACATTTTTTGCCATCATCATTCTCAAAACATTTGCTTTCTACTTGAACCCTTGGTATCAGCTCCTCATTCCCCCCCCACCCACCTCATGAGCCCTTGATAATTTATAAATGATTTTTTCATGTCAGAAATAAAGAAATGCTTACAGCAGAACAAAAAGGAAAAGAATGGGAATATTCTGAGGGAAGCCACCTCACAGTAACCCCAAGAATAGGGCAGAAGTGCCTGACAGAGTTTCCAAGGCTGTGAATTTTCTGAAGCACAACACATCTTTCTCCCATGGAGCAGCTGGTGGATTTGAACCACTCACCTTTTGACTAAAAGCTAAGTACTTAAATAATGAGTCACCTGACCGAAAAATGAGGGCCAAAGTGGGCCTTGACTCACAGAATGTCAAGTTCTGGAAACCTAGGACTTCAGATTTGACACCTGTGCTGGATGCCAGGATCAGGAGATCAAGCCAGGAGCCCATCCAAAGAAAGATGTCCAAAAGGAATGAAAATCTTGAGGACCCAAAGCATTACATTTTCCGTGACATTGTAAATCAGAAATGAATCAGATGTTCAGAAGAGGTCAGTGAAGGTGTTTGATAATCAGGACTGTCTTAACCTTGGGGCTCAGAGGAGGAGGAAAAAGTCCTCATTTTGGAGTAGAGGCCAAGTTCCATCAAGTGTACAATGCAATAAACCTCCAGTAGAAAAAGGAATATGGTCCTGGGACTGATGATGTCCCAAAGAATTTTGCAAAAGCAAGTTTGAATTCTCTGGCCAACTTTAACTCTGATCTGAAAAACATCAGCACATTTACAACCCAGAAAGCATGAGTTCAGTAAAAAAATCACAATCCACACCAGTCTCCATGAGTAAAAGCTAGCTACAGACAGCCCAGAAAGACCCATTATTGGGCTGTGATGGTTAAGGTTGTGTGTCACCGTGACTGGACCATTAATGCTCACTGGGTTAGCAGCTATTATGTCATTTGACAGCTATGTAATGATGTAGGCACCCTTTATTTCATAATCTAATAAAACAATCATTTCCATGATTAACGCTAACCATGAGCATCCAGTCTGGTAAACATAAGTTTCCTAGGAGGTATGACCAACATCCAATAATATATGGACATTCTGGTAAAGTTCCTGAGCCTTTTGCTGGCTCTGGCTCCGGCATCTGGCTCATCATCATCCGATTTCCGGTTCTAGGGCCTTGAGCCAGTGGCCTGCGATTTTGCCTGCCACTATGGGGTTTCTTAGATACACGAGACAGGAGAAGCCAGTCTGACACACAGACTTGGGGCTTCCTAGTCTTTACAACTACATGAGCATTTCCTTAATAAATATGTATGATATGATCTCCACTGGTTTTGTTTCTCTAGATCAGGGGTGCGCAGTATATGGGTCGCGATCTACTTGTCAATCGCAAATGTAGTGTGGGTACATCGCATGGCATTAAAACAATAGATGTAA